CCTCAAAATTGGTTTCGGATGATCTAATTGCCTTGTCGGAAGCTTTTTTGACCTTTAACATTCCGCTTCAGTGCAAAAAAATAAACGTAAAAACGTTGTTTGTTTTCAGCGTTCGTTTATTTTGGCCGCCAGTCGTTTATTAATTAGCGAGTGTCGAAAATATGCAAATCAAACATTTCTTGTACATTTCCGAGGCGTGGAGACAATGAGACAAAGTCTCGTGAGAAATCGAGAAATAGAAAATTATAACGCGTCTTAGAAAAACAAAAGAAGAAGTAGTGAAAAAAAAGATGAAAACAAAAAGTATTTACAGTTAGTTGATTGTGCCCATTTCATTTTTGTTGGCTTTTAGATGGTTACCAGTCCAAACTTCCCCCTTTATACCCCGCAAAAAAAAAAAGAATAAAAACAAAATAAAAAAACTCACAAAAGAAGCCAACGAACGCAATGTCTCCAAAGACGAGAGGAAGCTGAAAAAAACGCTGGAAAATACAGTAAATATTGGTTTAAGTGAGCTATTTAAGGGTTTACTGTAATGAGTAGGTTTTATAATATTTTTAAACATTTTTTCTTTGCTATTTTTAGACTTTTTAGTCTTATGTTTAGCTTAAATTAAGGCAATACTTTGGCATTTTAAAAATGTCTGAGGATTTTATGGGTTTTATGGTAGATTTAAATATTATGGTTTATGAACAATAAATTAAATAAATACTTACATTCTAAAATCCACTTAATGTAGTATTTACTGTAAGAAAAAGTAGCCAAGAAGTTTTAAAAGAAGAAGGCGGGTGGGGCTGCCAAACAAACAAACGAATTATGAACCAATTTACAAATTACCAAAGCCCCCAGAAGGGAAGCCCAGACAAAGGCAGCGGCCGGTGGATTGGTGGGGTAAAGAGATACAGTGAACTACGGACACAGAGACAGTCTGTCTGCTGCTGCTGATGAAGCTGAAGCTGCTGCCCCTCGAGGAGAGATTAAATCCAAGCCTCTTCTAGGCGGAGAAGCCATTGACCAAGTAACGAGTTTCGAGACCCGATTTCGAATCCGCCAATCCACTTGCCATGGAATTACTGAACTTTTTGCCAAGCTGATGAACTTAATAAATAGTAGATGAAATGGGAAGCGAATAATTATTGAAATACTTTTAGAAATGTGTTAAAAAATATTTTATGAAATATAAAACAATGTAATCCTTTACTATAACAATAATTTTATGTAAGGAGTACCAGTTTTTTGATTTTTTAAAATATTTACATTTCCTGCTTCTTATTAAATTCCCTTCCAAATAACTCATTAAAGATAATCATCAATCTTCTTTGTGCCTTTCTCTAACTGGAAAGCAAACTGTACAAATATTCCCCACCCACTTTTAAAGAAACCCCTTTTTTTCCCATCCTTTTGGCAGGCTCCTCTGGCTTCTTTGCTCATTATTATTTAGCCGATTTGCTCATTTTGCTTCCTTCCTTCATTTTATTTGCTTGCGCGCCTGTCGTCTCGTTTACGGTCCGCTTATGCCCCGTACTTGGCAGATACAAAGATACAGAGATACACTCGCCTCGACATGAGTAAGTAAATATATCTTCTGTTCGGCGGGTTCTTGGAAATTGTGGTCCGCCATCTGCTCCCTCCCCTCCCCCACCTTCTCGGACTCTTTTTTTTTCCCCGCTCTTTCTCTGTCTGTTCACCTCGCGAATTCAATTAAAATGCCGCTCTCCAAGCTACGAAGCTCGAATCTCGGCTCTGGTCGCCGGTCTTTGGTCTTTGGTCGCGGCTTAGTGTGTTGAACCCGGACGATGCTCCACATCGACATCCAGAGCCAAAACCAGAGCCAAAGTGTTATTAATTTGTGAAAGTTCTGGTTGCCACGCCCCCCAAACATCACAGAACACACCTGTCCGGGGCCTGAACTCAGGTGTCACAAATCAAATGCCTTGGGAATTTGGGTAAATAAAATTCTAGAAAATTTGTTAAAGGTTCTACAGGATATATAAATTTGTAATATATTTATTTTAAGAGAAAGAATCATATTAAACTTTATAAAAATTTCAATGAAAGTCAAAAGAAACTACAAAGCCCATTTTAATGTCTGGTTGATCACAAATTATCCCCTTAAATTTATTTTAAAATTATTAAAATCTATCCTTATCCTATTTAAAACAAAATAAATGTAAAAAAAAGAAAAAGAACTTAAAGTATCAACAATCTTTCAACACCTGGCGCCGTTTGAAATACAGCAAAACGTTTTCGCTTTGCCTTAACTTGAACACAAGTGCCACAAATCGCACAGCATCGACATGAACCTGCCACATTTGAATTACAAAACGATTTGGGTTGAAAATCGTATGCGATCTTGTCGCATTAATTACGTTAATTTGCTCACGCTCAAGCTTTTCGTTATCCGTGAATTAGCATTTTATTGGCCATCGCGTCGATTCGGTTATCAGTCAAGGATATCGCAATGTGATTCTATATTTCATTAAAACCACGTAGCCTGACTCAGCTAAAATTCTTCGTCTTATCAGAGGAAAAAAACGTTAAAGATACTCCTAACCCCGCTGATAAGATTCATCGAATGATTCAACAGTTTTATGAAAGTATAAGCGTTGCATAAATCGAAACTTGTTTCCCTTTCTCGATCTCTCGATTTTCAATTTCGGATTTAATAATCTTCCTAGAGAGAGGCTGAAATTAATTTGGCAAAAATACAACAAAAAACACAAAAACAAATAGCTTGGTTCCCCGTTCGACAAAAGATACAAATAGTTGCAGATACAACTCGTGTGTGGTTGTTGCTGCTGCTGCTGCTCATTGCGCAGTTAATTTGTTCAAGCGCTCAATGCGTCAATACCATTTGACTTTCACTTATTTGCTCCACTCGCCACGGCAGCGACGGTGGCGGCGGACACCCAAATCTGAACAATGTTGAGGGAGGAGGAGGAGGAGGAGCTGCTTAGATATAGATACAAATATAAAAGACAGATGCAGATATACAAGGAAGCTGATTATGCAATTTGAGAGGGAAAATTGAAAGAAATAGTAAATTGAAAAGGTTTAAGTTCTATAAAAAAAAAAAAATTTATAAATTATTACTAATTTACAATTTAATCTAAAAACTTTAAGAAATTATCTTAGTCATATCAATCCAAATATTATTTATAAATAAGGTTCCAAAAATGTTTGACTTTAATAAACGACACCTTCATAATATTCCGACTTTAACAAATAACCAACAGATTCCTTGAAAAGGAAAATATATATTTTCCAGACAAAAAAATAGGAAAGAAAATAATATTTTCTATGTAACCCTGGGATAATGACCTCAGATTGATACTGTCACTTTCAGATATAGTTCTTTCACCCTCCACACATTTCTTGGGGGAATACATGTTGGAATATACTTGGTGGTGTCCCCTTAGATATTTTTTTTCTTGACTCATATGTGATTCATTCTATGCAGCAGTTTTCCCCCATATATAGTGGCGATACAGATACAGATACAGATACAGATACAGCGGCAGCAGATACAACAACAATCCGTGAGATACGATTTCTTTTGGGTCGCATTTGTTGCTGTTGCTGTTGCTGTTGTCGTCTGGCGCGCGCAATTGATGTTGTAACATGGCTACCACGAGTGCAACATCCCCCCAGGTCCCCCAAAAAGCCACCATCCCCTCGGCGGAGCGGAGCGGAGCACTCCCCCAATCCGAAAATGTGTGACATAATCTGTGCAGACTTCGATCTTGTTGTTACACTGGCAACAATTAAAATAATAGTTGAATGGGTAAAAATAATTTTTAAAAATATATGGTTACTATATTTTAATTATATTTAAATTTAAAAAAAAGTTTGAATTGTTTTTATATATTTTTATACCCTTGCAGGGTATTATAATTTCAGTCAGAAGTTTGCAACGCAGTGAAGGAGGCCTTTCCGACCCTATAAAGTATATATATTCTTGATCAGCATCAACAGCCGAGTCGATCTAGCCATGTCCGTCTGTCCGTCTGTCCATCTGTCCGTCTGTCTGTTTCTACGCAAACTAGTCCCTCAGTTTTAAAGCTATCTGAATGAAACTTTGCATATAGTCTTCTATATGCTCTCACTGCTATATATGTCGGAACGGGCCGGATCGGACGACTATATCATATAGCTGCCATACAAATGTTCGATATATTTTTAGAAAAAAAATTATAACTTTGCTGTTTTTCAACATTTTTGCACCATTTTTTAGATATGGCCACTCTATATTATTTAAGAATTTTGGTAAAAATTTTATGAAAATCGGACGACTATATCTTATAGCTGCCATAGGAACGATCGGGAAATTAATCGAAAAAAATTATAACTTCGTTGTTTTTCAACGTATTTTCATCTACTTTAAGTTATAAGCTTTTTTTATTATTCTAGAATTTTGGTATAAATTTTATAAAAATCGGACAACTATATCATATAGCTGCCATAGAAGCGATCGGCAAATGTATAAAATATGTAAAGCTGGGAATGTAAAACTGTAACTGTCAAACTGTAAACATAATAAGTATAGGTAAAATGTAATGAAACTCTGTTTTGTGAGTGTTTTCAGCATTTAAATCTATAATATAAACATCGAAACCAATCTGCAAGGGTATAAAAACTTCGGCGTGCCGAAGTTAGCTTCCTTTCTTGTTTTAAATTAAATCTATAGAAAATGTAAGAAAAAATATACCTTTTACGGTTTTTTTCTTCAAAAAACCATATATTTTTTAATGCTTCCTTTTTTACTATTTCTTTAATATTAACTTAACTCTTTTCCAAGTGTATTTTGCTGCTTTTGGGGCTGCTGCTTTTGCTTGCAGTCTCACTCATTCAATAAGTCAGTCAGAGTCCAAGACGCCGGGGAGTTCAATGAACCAAACCACCGCCACCACTGTTGGCTTTTGTGTAAAAACAAAAACCCAAGCTAGCCGTAAGAAAAAACTTAAATATTTTTTGTTGCCTTTTTGGTCGAATATGTTACAAATTTTGTTTCTCTTTTTATTTGTATTTTTTTGTGATTTTTTGCCAACAATGTTTGTTAGTTTTGCTCGCCCCGCTCGATGGCAGGCGACTCTGTGAAATCACTTACTGGTTTTTATGAGACCAGCCAGCAGCAGGAACAACAACAACAACAACAACAAGCGCCTTATGAACAACTGTAAATTTGTTGGCAGCACGTTACTCATTTAGCCGCTTCGCACCTTTTTTTACCAGTAATCCTCCACTTAAGGTAAAAATATCAACTTTATCAGAGATTGCACAAAAAAGTCAACAAATATTTTAATTTAATTTGTAGGAGTACTCGAAAAAATGGTGAGATCAAGTTGAAAACTATGTAGATATTCAACATATTTGAGTTTATTTAGGCAGTAATAAGGCCTAGTTGGGTCTTCAATTAAGAGAAATTTAACACGTATTTAAATAACTCGCATAAATACGTAAAATATTTCAAGTTAAATAGGTAAGTTATTTATTTTCATCTAAAAGTAACCTTCTCTTTGTTTGTTTTAAAGTTGTTAAGTATTTTTTCATGCTTCTTTTTAGTGTTTAAGTAACTTCCAACGATTTCTGCCCAATGAAACAGCATTGAGACGTCACCCGATCACTCTCGAGTCTTAGGAGACCTTATTGACTATATAAACTATGTGCGCACATAGAGATATTTCTATAATTACTAAACAAATGCCAATGTCAGGCCAATGCAACGACGACGACGACGACTGCAGCAGCAGCAACAATCACTTCAGGTATTACAACAGCAAACAATCATAATTATATGGCAGTCTTGAGTTCAGACCGATCCAAGCCGAGTCGGTTCAAAGCGGTTGCCTTGTTTCACACTTTTGTTTATGGAAAACCTAATGCAAGACGATCTCTGGCGACCGCAAGATTGAAAAGCATTTCGTAAAATAATTGTTGAGAAATTTGTATGGCCAAGAGAGCAATTACGAGGCGAACCAGACCAGCCCAAAAGCTGCTGTAGCCCCCTTTTGAGTCTGGCAACTCCACCCTTCACCCCTTCGCCCGCCCCTGCACCTTGGAGTCGCCCCCTCTTCGCGCTCAAGCTCACACCATGGGCCGCTTAATGACCCTATTTTAATTTCAAGCATCGCTTGTCCATCGCACTTTGCGGAATTTACATTATACGCATACATATTTCTCAGTCGCTTATTTCGGTTTTTTTTTTTTTTTTTTTTTTTTTTTGCTTTTCTGGTTCCTCGTTTTTTTTTTTTAGCTTTTGAAAAGCCGCCCTGGAAATGGAGTACAGTGGAAGGGAATGAAAAGCCGAAGGGAAATATTTAAAATATATAAAGAAAGGGGGGTTATTTTTAATATTTAATTCGAGAAGAAAGTTTTTAAATACTTAATATTCAATTTTAAAGAGACCTTTTTCTCAGAGATCATTAAATATTTCAGTTTAGATTTTTGGGTAAATGAAAAGTATCATTTAGAAAACATTTAACTTTAGAATCTGGCATTGAAAAACATATAACAGAAAAATTAAAGAAACTATAAGTATTAATATAAACTAATTTCCTAATAATTTATAATGTTTAAAAGAAACACTTGTTGTACCAAAAAATCTATCTTACGTCTAATTTAAAAGTCTCATGAGCTCTTGACTAGTATTTTCACAATTTTAAAAGAGTTCTATATCGTATTAAATCCCAAATTTGTAACCCATTTTCATAGTTTTCAAACCACTGTACAATACGTTGCCTTCCCAGTGAAGAAGCGACGAAGCCGAGTTGACTTTTGGACGCTAATATGACGACGATCTTGGCCTTTGGGTGAGGCAACCATCAACGGCAGCCACAGCAATATCAACAAGAAACAAAAAATGAAAACAATGAGAGCAGCAGCAACAGTAACAAGAGCTAAGGAAGCCAGAAAAAAATACATATATATATATATTTAAGACAATGGAAATTCATTTCATACGCCGGGCCTGAGAGACAGACTTCTTGGCCAAAGGCAAGGTCTTTGGAGGAGAACCCCCTTGGCACCTTGGTAGGCTCTCCCTCTGAGAAATTAGCTGCCTCAGTTATTATCATTGTTGTTGGCCAGACGTTTCTATATCTATATAAGTGATCGTCGTCACTGGCACTTCATGTTTGCCTTTCAACTTGTCTATCCTCTCTTCTCCACATTTTACCCTATACTATATATAGATTTTTTTTTTGCATCCGCTTCCGCAACAACAATTATTGTATTAGCGGCAACAAGGAAAATTTTGTTACCCAAGAGCTATCTTGGCTGTAAAGCTTGACCTCAAAAATGAAAAGTTGAAATAAAACAAAACAAAAAATATTTAATCTAATGTGAAAATCGCTGGAGCGTCATCGGCTTTTGTTCACCTTTAGAAACTGATAACGACAACACGACAACTAAACGCTGAGAGTGAGAAATTGTATCACTCGCTGATATTGTTCTGCCCTTTCTAAAACTCTTGAAACTCCTCCCCGTCACTTGGATAATTATATGAATTTAGAAGGTACGTTGGGAATGCTTTTTAGGAGCGGGGTATATAGTCGTTTAGGGTAGTATTTTTATTCTTAAATGTATGGTTAAACAATTGAATTTGTTACTTATTCAGGTATATAATCTTTTAAGGTATATAATAATAATAATATATAAATATTAAAATATAAATCATACCCCATAAAACCCAAAAATCACAACAAACCATAATAAAAACATTTTACTTTTATACCTTTTCCCATAAATCATAACAAATTCACATAAATGTAAACCGATTTAATATGATCGCTTTTGATTTGTGACAATTCTCTTGATGACTTTTGATTACTCATAGAGGCATTAATATTTATTTACATTGGATTATCGGATTCGAATTCCAAAGAGAGAGAGATACATATATATAGGGAGAGAAAAGTTCAGACAAAGATTCCAGCTCAGTCACATGATCACAGCACCCGCACAATGCACTGAACTGAATTGCTCATGATCATGATCATCATCAGTCGATCTCGGCTTGCACATCTGACTGATTTATAAAAACTATGGGGACTCGAGGTGGGGCCTTGTGCATCTTGTGCAATTTTAATAAATATTTACATTTGTTTCAAACCAATTTGCGCAATTTGTGCAGCTGCCTGAGAATTTGCAAAGTCGTAGAAATGAGGAGACCCAGAGAGGGGGTAAGGCCTGTAATACTTTTAGTAATATGTGCGAGGTTTGTTAGGAAAAGCTGTCATCAGTATTTGGTTTCTATTTGAATATATTTTACAGCTTAATGTTTAGCTTAGAAGCCTTTCCTAACTCAGTCTCAAATTTTACTTTTACTTTAATAATATATTTTTTTTTTCTATATTTTAAAATTTTCTAATATTTGTAAAAATAATTGAAAGACCAATCAAACTTTACTGGCAACCCCTTGTCGCATTTTTTGTTTAATGTTTTGTCATCGTTTTTGATTTGGCGTGCGCTGCTCATTTGCCAAAACAATTTATGAGAAACAATTGCGATGAGTTTTACTCAAAGGGGAGGAGGAGGTGTACAAGTATGGGAAGTATTTTATGAGAGCCAGAATATCCATTAAACGTGGCCAAGACCAGCTTCAGCTCTGAGACAATGCACACGTGCGACTTCAATGACGACATGTCACCCCACCAGTTTCCCCAGTTCCATCTTCATGTGACAAACAGATGTGCGATTAGCAGATAAGTTTCAATTTTCGCCTCGATTCATCTCATCTCCCCCTTTGAATCGAAACGAAACGCAACGCAACAAACTCCACACCAAAATGGCAGTCTGATGGATCTCCCCATTGATATCTCCCTGACAGAGACAGAGTCACAGAGCAGTGGAGAGATTCTAGAGGGGGAAGAGGATGATCTCTCTCCTCTATTTTTATCAATGGCTTGCCATCATTGGCCATAACCAAAATTGGAACAATCAAGACATGGATGCCCCAGCAAAAACAGATGCTGGGGCAGCATCGGAAATAGTCAGGAATGTGACTAAATTTAGGCAGAGACAAGAGATACTAGCTGGAAAATATAGGGATGAATGCAGAGAAAGAAATTACTTATCAAATTCATAGTAAAAAATATTAGAAAAATGTTTTGAAGACAATGAAGTGGTTTTTCAAAATGTAATTCAAGTAAAGTTTTAGTTTTTATCAAATAAAGTTAATTTCTTGTGTACCCCATAACTTGCTTCTAAAAAATCTACGAAAATCTCTTTCTTTAATTATAATTATTTAAAATTTCAGTATTTATTTTTCTGTGTAAAGAAAATGCATTGGTGCCTGGGCACTTACACATGTTCCAGACGAACTCAGAGGGCGAGTTCTCGACTTCGACTTCGCCTTCGCCTTGTTCTGAGTGAGCGTATTAATAAAAGAAAGTGCAATGAATTCCCAAATATCTTAAATTGTCTACCAAACAAAGGAACCAAAAGGCAGAGAAGTGATGGTGGTGGTGGAATAGGAGGGGAAAAATGGGAGGCAGGGCCCCCCCCAATAACATATGTGCAACAGATACTGCCTGGGATCGCGAGAGGGAGTCTCACTCTCAGCTCTTACTTATCCACCCCCGATTTTCCTCCCTCTCTCTCTCTGTGTCTTTCCCTTTTCCCGGAGTATTTTCTTCTGGTTGTGGATCGTAATTAAAATTGAAGTGGAGGCACTAAATTTAACAGCCTTCAATGATGATCAGCAGGAGAAGGAGGAGGGATTGAAAATAAATATTAAGGAAAGAATTACAAAATATAAATCTAGAATATTTAATCAGTGAAAGCAGATTTTATATAGGGCAAAATAATCCTTAAAATATATAAATAATACCAGCTCAAAGTTGAATCTTCACAAAAACAACCTGTCTCACTGAAGCCTTCTTCTATCCATTATATATTCCTTTGTTTCCTTTTTTCGATCCGTGTTTCAGACTCATTTGCCGAAAACAAACTTTCCCATTCATGTCTATCAACTGTATACACACATTATGCGATATGCCACGCCCCTCTACAGCACATTACATGGCCCATCATGCAATTAGTTGGACTAACCCCTTTTCCCCCATATACCACACTTGCGATTATACCAAAAACTTCCTTGCTAGCACATACATATGAGTGTAACCGAGTAAATACAAGTGAGTATAAGTGAATATGGTGAGTCTATACAAAGCCAACTTAAAGCCAAGGATGGTATGGCTCTGGGCGGGGGTAAAAAGAAAAGTAAAAACTCAAATGAAAAATCATACAAAAGGCGCATAAATTAGCAATGGTCTGTAATTCCAAAAAGGGTCGACTGCTGGCAGGGAAAATTTTCATAAATATAATTTTTTTTTTGCTTTCCTACAGGGAGCATTGGTCTAAGAAGGCAGTTACAGTCGGCGTGCCAGCGACGCATTCATTAGTTTAATATTAAAATAGTCATCATAAAATGGTAGCTAAAAGTCTGAAACAATGTGCAGCAACAAAACATAAGAAATGTTTATAAAAAAAAAAGGGAAGAAGGTGAAGAGAAAAATATCAGCAAGTAGCCAGGGCCAAGATTTATGAACTGCAGTCAACGAGTCATACTTGAATACAATTAAGGAACAAAAAATAGCATAATGAGGCTTTAAAAATTAATTTTAAATTTGTAAAAAATAATGCAAACACTTACCCAGTGGTAGATTAGCTGTAAATAGGGAATATTTTAGATTGGTAACAAGAAATAAATTCTTTAGAGTAAAAATATATAAATAAATACATA